ATTGAGGTAAACATGTGTTGGTGAGGTTTGATCCCAGAAATCCTACGGTGAGTAGACCAGGACCAGTATGATAAACAAATAAAAACAAACAGTTTAAAACCAGATTTATTATCTTTTTATAAATACTGAAATGTAAATATTGTTATTACTGTTGCTTGAATAACATCACACACTGTCCAACACTAGTCATGTTACAGGGATAATAATAATTGTCTAATATAATTTTTGTTTTTAATGTTTTAGCTTTGCTCCACAGAAGTAAAAAAGACCAGTGAACATATTGCCACTCCATCCTAAACATTGATTTTAAACCAAAACACTTTATTCATAAGATTTTTATTTACAATATTTTAGAACAAGGCTAAGAGCCAAAGAGGATACATAAATCCTTTTAAAGAGTTCTGGGTTTTAGCGTACCCAGGAGTTGTCCTAATTCTTTCCTAACCTCCTCAGCTGACTCCTTCAGCTGATGGGATCCGAGGTTTGGGATCTAAAAACCTTGAAGTTTGTCTCAGACAGAGAGAAAGCAATGGGCCGATGTTTTGTGAACCTGAGCTAATTTCAGATGGACAAATGGCAGAGGAGACAGAAAGACTAAACAAAGGAGTTCTGCTGCTCTACGTTTTGGGACAAGCAGATATCTAGTTCTGCAAGCCAAAGAGAAGGATCGTACAGGTTGTTCTCAGAGAAAGCTGACTCCTGTGATGAAATGGGGTGGGGCATCAGTCTCCATGTCTAAGCTACAAATGTGGGGCGGAGCATCAGTCTCCATGTCTAAGCTACAAATGTGGGGCGGGGCATCAGTCTCCATGTCTGAGCAACACAGAGAGAAGGAGAAGCATCCATCAGATGAGGGCGGGGCAGTTTTAAATGGGGGTGTGGCCACTCCAGATGGGTGAAGGTCACACTGAAAGTTTTAGTGAATTTAGGGACATTTTCTGAAGCTTTCTGGAAACGTGTTCAGAGATTTGTCCAAAAGCTAAACGTATGTGAACCTAACAGTAATGCGTCTGGTGTTTAGTTTTTCATCAGTGACATTGTTGCAGCGGGGTTGTTACCGTGACAATGCGTTTTCTCCACCGGGTTAGCAGAAAGGTGTCACTGAGCTGTTTTCACAGAAACAACATGTAAAATCACCTCTGTAGATTCCTGCAGACTTCCCCGTCAGGTCCTCTCTCCTCCCACCATCTCTCGCTCCAATCCTGGCCTCTGATTGGTTGAGCTGTCAGATGGGGCCGTCCCTCGCCATGCAGGGACAGGACTTCAGATCAGATCTGAGTCAGACTGATCTGTGAAGCGGGTTTTTCTCTCAGCAGGGACAGGAAGTGCAAGAAGCCTGCAGTGAGACAGAACAGTGAGTCCAGAGGAAGTAGAGCTCTGAGTGAGACGGTCGGCTCATTCTGAGTCTGGCTGCTGCAGAAGGTAGATCACAGCTGCAGGTTGGTTCACTTTACTTGTAATCAATCTCTGAATTTGATTTTGAAGGGCTTCACAGCGACAGGGACATTCAAAACGTGAACTTGTGGATCTTATTGTTGATGTAACTCTTGAATGAAACACCTGAACCTTCAGATTCTGCAGCATTTACTTGAAGTTTAGTTTCATGCATAAAGTCGTCATGGGAATAAGTTAATCTCTGTGACTGTTTAAGAATCAGGTGGAGTCAGGAATCAATCCCAGCAGCCTCTCTGGTTTGAATTTTAGTTTGTTTCTGATTTAAAGAAACAACAAACCTACAGCATGATGGTTAAAGTTTGGGTTGTCTGTTTTTTTCTTATTGACGTTTGGAAGCACATTATGTAAAACTAATTTCACATCTCTGAACGTCTGTGTCAATTTAGGAACATTTCTGTCCTCAAAGAGCAGATAAAATCGACAGTTATGTAAACACAATGGTTTATGTTTTCATTTTGTGGAAAATGAAGCAAAAATTAGAAAATTTTATTGTCAGTTGCTGCAGAACAGATTTTAACATCATTAAACTCCTGCAGGTTGGAGTTGTAGTTTCATCAGAACTTCCTGGTTCTTTTTTGTATTGTTCAATTTGTCTTAATTCTCATTATTTATTCATTCTAACCACAATTTCTTAAAAATTTGAAACCCAGATAGCTCAATTCTTTCACTTAACTCCAACCTCAGGTCCTCTCCAGAGACCTGTGTTCTGAGGGTTCTGTTCGGTATCTTAGCTGTTCCTAGGACTGAGCTCTTCTGGACAGAGATCTCTGAGGTTGTTCCTGGGATCTGTTGCAGTCACTCTTCCAGTTTGGGGGTCACAGCACCAAGAGCTCCAACGGCCACTGGGACTACTGACTCTTTGACTCCACACCTTCAGTATTTCCTCCTTCAGCTCTTGGTATTTCTCCCGTTGCTTCTTCTTCCTGATGTTACAGTCACTTGGGATTTTTACATCTATCACCACTGCCTTCTCTTGTTTGTCAACCACCACAACGTCCAGTTGGTTAGCCATGGTCTGGATCTGTAAGTCCCACAGTATCTTAGCCCTTCCATTCTCCAACACCCTTGGTGTCACCTCTCACTTTGACTCCACCAATTTTGACTCCTCTGGCTTCTGCTTCTCAAGTGTACCTCTTTAGGTGAGTAGCCAGAGCTTTGAGACATTGTTTGGCAGTCTCAGGTATGGACATGTTGTGGTGTTTTCATGTTATTCAATTTATTATGTTTATATTATATTATATATTATTATATTTATATTATTTATCATGTTTATCAATTTATTGCACCTTTCTGTTGTTCTGACAGTTGGCTGATTTCTCTGGTTGTTGTCTTGATCTTAGCTCCCAGACTCCTTTTCCATGGTGGACAATGCTTTTTATTCATTGAAGTCTTGATCTTATAGCCAAGCAAGTTAAGGATCTCTCTGGCTGCTGGGTATACCAGCTTATTGGCTTCGTTTTGGCGACTTTAAACATACTTAGAAATGCTGCATTCACATCTTCAAGCAGACTTTCAGAAGGTACTTTGTCACGTAGCCTTGTCAATGTGTGCAAGTTATAAGTGCCAAGCTTGGTCACAGTCTTCATTCTCAGGTCAGCTGATCTTGTATTTAGCTCCTCGGGGCTTTTTAAAAGGGCTTGGTACTCTTACTCTGATGGATGACAGTATGGTATACCCCTCTACCTGTCGTTCTGGCTCCCCCTTGCTGTAGCATCTTTGTTGTACCTCGTCAATCTCTAGGTGTGATACCTGATTTCTGTATGCTGGGTCCGAAATTGTTTCTGACTCAATCTGGATGATGGGTATCAAAGTGTCCATAGTTCCCACATCCTTCCCATATAGCTCATCTTGCCAGGCATGATGGCATAGCAGCATTCCAACAGTGTTTGTTCTCTGTCCTCATCCGTGTGTCTCTCTCTCTCTCTCTCTCTCTGTGTCTGTCTCTCTGTCTCTCTCTCTCTCTTTCTCTCTCTCTCTCTCTCTCTCTCTCTCTCTCTCC